ATTTTTAAATATTTAATCTAAACGATTCAGTGTTTCAGCGATGGTCTGGTAGACACATACAAAAAAAATCATTTTCCTTGCCCCCCTCCACAGAAGAGCAGGGGAAGTGTTCAGTTTCCTGATATCCTGATGCGGCTTCATGATATCAGAAATTGAAACTGAAAGGAGCCTTGGCAGCTTTGATAGCTGTAAGGATCAATTTGAGTCCAGTCCCAGCCATCGCATGCATTGTGAATGGGCTAAACTAGGGTGCACCAACCCACACAAAAAATGTAGATGCTCACGCCAGGCTGAAACAGGTGCAGGTTGGGGTGCCTTGGGGGAAAGCTGCTCTGATCCTTATGTTGTTGCTGGGTGGGGGGAAGTGAACTGTTCTGCTCCCAAAGTGCACCAAGCAGGGGGACAAATGCCTGTCTGGATATGCCCTATGCATCCTCTGCAAATCAGGAGGAAAGGAAGGTTCTCTCACTTTCCTCTTGCAGGGCGCTTAGATGCAGTAAAACACATTCTCATAAAAATAGATTGTCTTTACTTCCATGCAGTTGCAAGGATTAAAAAAAAAAGAATATGTCTTTAAAGCAACGGCATACATAATGTATGCCCCCATCTTTAATAATTCCTTCAATTGGTGCTTTTCAGTTCTAATAGCCTTTGACACCAAAGGGTAGCTTAAAGCAGTGGTCCCCAACCTTGGGCCTCCAGATGTTCTTGGACTACAACTCCCAGAAGCCTTCACTGCCACGTCTGCTGGCCAGGATTTCTGGGAGTTGAAGTCCAAGAACATCTGGAGGCCCAAGGTTGGGGACCACTGGCTTAAAGGGAGAGCTGTTTTCAAAATGTGTTTGTGGCCATCTAATCTGAGTTTGTTCTGGAATTTGTTAGATACAAAGATTCATATTGAATTACAGTACATGCTAGACATGCAGATAGGATTTGTTCTGTGTTCCATTGGTCTATCTATAGGTCTGACTAGAAGTTCAGACTTCAGAAGTATTAATAATTTGTAGAGAAGGTCCTATGTTACACCTGTCTCCTTCTTCATGCAGGCGATGGCATTTATCAAGAAGGAAACCCTTGCATTTTCCAATAGTCTTCCTGGATTCTCAGCCTGGAAGATCCCATCAAACAGTTGCAATCTGAGCTTGCTCTCTTGGGAGTTGAGAGATTTTGGTGAAACCAGAGAGATTACTGGGGCATTTTATTTATTTATCACTTTATTACATTTAGACCCCACCTTTATACTTCTCAAGATGGCTTCAAAGTTATTAAAAGAAGCAAAAGTAGATAAAACCAAGATTTAGCTAAAATCTTAATAAAGGAATACAAATTGGCTCCACCGTAAAATCATCAAAATGCTTTTTAAAAACATTAAAAACATGAAATTTATTTATTTATTTTATACCCTGCCTATCTGGTCATTGCGACCACTCTAGGCGGCTTCCAGACAAAATAAAGAGTAACATATACATATAACAAAATGAAAATTAGAAAACAATAAACAATAAACAGATTCTTCAAGGTGGAAAAATAACAAAAGATAAGTGGAGAAACAGAAAATTAAGTATTGACTGGAGGGAAGGCCTGCTTAAACATCCAAGTTTTTAGTTGGGTCTTAAAAATACCCAGCGACGGGGCCGCACGAATCTCTGGAGGGAGGTTGTTCCAGAACATTTCAAAGGTTACAGATTAAAAACAGCACTGCAGGGCAACTTAAACATCAAACACCAGTCTAAAAAATGTGTTTTCACTCACTTATTTTAAAAAATCTGAGTGGAAAGAGATTGCAATTAAGAAAGAAGTGCATTCGGTAGGAGAAGGCCCTCTCCCACAAATCTGTTAGTTGGGTATATTAGGTAATGGATTTTAAATGAATAAATATTATATATGTTTAGTTAGATGTATACACATTTACCTGTGTATTCTGTTTACCTAAGATTTGTTTTAAACATGCATATAATGTTAATTGTTTAAAATGTTGCTATGTCCCATTTGTCTGTCTTTGTCCATGTAGGCGAATGTTCGGAATAGCAAAACTGTAAAGAGATACTTCCCTGATTAATTAGAAGGAGAACCACCTTCAGGCCATGGGAAAAGTTAGGTTTTTACAGAGCTTGAAGAAATTTGCTTTTAAAAGGTCCTCCCATGAATCTTCTATTAATTTTCATAGCAATAATATCTAACAGGTGAGAAATCAAAACCAATCATATTTTGTATTGCAGGTTTTCTTCATAAAAGGTAAGTTGAATGCATTTTGTATAAGGTAGATGGAAAGCTCATTCCATCCCTACCTACACATCAGCCATACTTCTGCACACATGCACACACATCTCCTGCTCATACACACTCAAACCCATCCATGAACACATCTGTTTCCCTTTATACCCCATGCATTCTTCCAGTGCCTCCCCCTACCCTTAACACTTTGGCACCCTCCCCACACCCCACATATGCATCCCAAAGACTTCAAACACAACAAATCCCCTAAATGACACACGTCCTTTTCATCACATAGCACACTCAAACGCATGCACAAATGCACATACACCACACACTTGCTTGCCAACATGATGCCAATCAGATTCAATTTAGTGTCTCACTTTTATTTTACTTTACTTGAATTTGTCATGCTCTCATTTGATGCTCCTTTTTTTCTAGACCGCTGTTCCTTGTTTCTGTACTCCCTGCTATTGCTCTGCCTTCCACCTTGGTCAGAAGCCCTCCCTAAGAGTGTAGTCTGAATGCTGAACAATGCAAGGTGGAATTTATTAAGCGACGAAACCTTCTGATAGTCACAATACGAGATTTTACCTTATTAGGTTTACAGATCAGTTTGTTTTGTTTTATCATTGGTCTTCAGTAACTAAATATAGCCCTCCTTTTTCAAGTCTGATTTATTAGACATGAAAGTCTGCCTAAATTACATCTCTAGAACATTAATATGATTTCAGCTTTAATTTAAGGGTATCTATAATGTACAGTTTGATCCTCTGAAGTGTTGAGAGATAGTGTGATAGGCCAGCAAAAAAGCAACAAGTATCTCACCAGTGTTGTGGCTCCAGTTAGGCCTGGAAGATTCAGGAGGAACAGATTTGGGTGGGTTAGTGGGAACAAAGAATAAATAGTCAGCAGAAGATGCTGTTGCCATCTACCATTATTTGCTGCATCCAACTAAGAAATTGCATCTGATAAATGTTACAGAATATAAGGCATAATGTAAAACAAAAAGAATTGAACTTATTAGCTCAGAAAATATAAAATGAAGGGGCAGGGCATGAAAATGTCAGAAAAAACAGATTAAATTCAGACAATAGAAATAGTTGAATTCAAGGCTCTACAGAACAGGCAGGAATTTAGTTCAAACCATGATCATGGAATGGCACCAAGCTGTCAACTCCAATCTGGGCAAAGGCATCATATCTCCAAAATCACAGATTTTAATACCCTTATCAAAGTATGTGTCAATCATTTGCTCTTCACATGGATATCTGGACATCACCAAATTAGGCTACACGATTTACAGACCGCAATACATTTTAAATCAACATTTTATGGCTTGTGATTAAGTTCTTCTTTTCTCCACCTGCCATAATTCCTTATTTCTGTGGTTAATTCTTACCTGCTGCAACAGTTTCTCTATAGCTTCTTGCTCAGAAGCTTTTAACTTGGCAAGCTAAGTCAGGTTGTAAGTTCCATGTACCTATTATTAATACTTTTCTTGATAAAAGTGGTTAATAAAAAATAATTTCTAATGAGAGGACTTCAGTTTCCAAAGCGCTACTCAAAAATTAATAGAGATTAATTTACAAATGCAAACTCAGTTCAACTAATCAAATTTGCACGTGCTGTATACAATTATGATTCCTTTAACAGTGAGAAACCACTATATTGAGGAGGTAAAAGGTTTTTAAAAGTGTATGCCATTGGATGGTTTATAAGAATACTTTACTTTTTTCCTCCAGAATTTCAGATAATTTACTTTAATTTATAATACATACATTCAAAAGATACTATTTAATTTACTAAGAAACCTTGGTAGGACTAGAATATAAGAAAAATAAATTAATCAAAGGGCAATTGTTGTATGGCTTGGAACTCAGCATGGTGAAAAGAGAGATGATGCTATTTATGTGATTGATAATTATATTCATATTATAAAATAAAATAGCAGGTGGATTTCCTTACCCTTTGAAACTGGGACCATGGCAGGGCAAAGGGTTAAAATCAAATCATTTTATATGATGATCTGATACAGTTTGGGAGCTTTTATGGCTCCTATTTACTTTTCATTTTTATTGCACCATATCTAATTAATAAATGCTCAAGTGACACAATCGCCAAAATCCAGCTGCTTAGCATAGTAAATCTCACTAGAACAGGCCTAGTGAATCAACAAAGATTTGATGAGTTAATTCCTCCATAATTTCCAGTGATTCAGTATAGTACTTTAGCATAGTAAGTCATAAAGTAGACTTGTTTGAATCAATGGAACTTATGGAGGACTTGACTCTGCCCTTTGATTCAGTGGGCCTTTCTATGCTAAGCAACAGGATTTTGGCCTGGTCTCCCTTTAATGTAGCATTTTACCTGTAGCAGTGCTCAATGAAACATTTTTGGGAAACCCTAGAGGTAGAATGTGAGATCCTGTTGCTTGTTCTTACCACCTAAAACTCAGGAGGACATTGTCTCTGAAAACAGATGACCCATTTACCAAACTGGACAGACTGGAAACTTTTTTAGAGTAACGATAGGATTGAAAGGGCAGGAGAATCTTGGAGGGGGGTTTAAACCAAGGAAAGATAAAGTGGAAAAAAACTGAGGACAGGGTGAATTTGTAGTATTTACACTTTTGGAAGAAGTCAATATTGCATATATGTCATAGATACATACAGTACACATATATGTTTAGAAAAGCATATTTACAATAGCAGACATACTGACTTTGTGACTACATTATATATCAATCTGAGAACAAGCCTACATTTAAATTGTGAGGTTGGTATTAGAAAAAGATGTTTAATAACAAAAAAGTCATGCATTTATCAGATTGCCAGTTTTATACCCATTTCCTCTTTTTAGCAGCATAGGCTGATGTAAAATCTTAAGGCACATTCACATCTTTTAAACAACAACAAGCAGGCGAGATTTCTTTTGTGGAATAGATACTGTAGTCCAAGATTACAGAAAGAAAACACTGAATCCTTCAACACTTTGGCTTTGCTTCCTGGGTTTGTAGCCTTTTTAGTCTACCCTGTAATTAGCAGCTGTTTGTACTTGTGTTACGTCAATTGATATTTATATAAGCAAGTTCAAGGCAAACATATTAGAGATGCAGAAATAAGGACATATTTTTGCTTGTTAAAGAAAAGGTCATTTTCCTTCTAATTGACGGCTTGATCCATTTCCTCCTTGCTGACAGTTGTTGCTTTTCCTGCCTACTTTCTGAAATAGATTTCATCACTGTGCTTTCATTTTCTTTTCAGGTGCCCCTAGGGAGAAAAATAAAAATTAAAAATCATGGTTTAGTCGTAACTCAGCTCAGAAGAATGTGCAGAGGTTATAAATGGTCTTTCCTGAATATAATAACCAACTCCGGGTTAATCGTGTTTGCTACTGCAAAAATCCAACTACTGATATATTCAGCCATATTTTCCCTTTCTGTGTAGCTTTGCAGACTGCTAAAAAAATAAAGGATGAAGTGTAGTGGAAATGTGTATTACTGCTAAATATGGCCAGTCCACTATTGTAAAGTTGGGCTCTCACGCAAAGTATTACTGCTAAATATGGGTGATTCGGGGCCAGTCCACATATGAGTGTTTTCTCCCACTATTGTAAAGTTGGGCTCTCACGCAAGGTATATAATATGCACTCTGTATTGTCCTATTTCTGTTCTTGTTCCCTAATTTCTTCACACTTATTATGTGACCTCTGGATAAGTTTGTATTTACATCAGTTTCCATGCAGTGTAAAAATGGTGTATGTGAAGTTCACAGTATTGCAATATATTTTGATAAGGATGGCTTCAGTCCATGCAACTTGTTCAGCAACCTTTCCTTCTGTCTTCAATGAAGTGTGGAAAGCTGAATCTGTGGAGAGGAGGTCTCCATGACCTCTGGAAATTGAGGGAAAACAGGGAATTTTTCATTTGCCTCAAGCAGTAAAAGAAATTCTCATACACAGACATTCTCATTACTTTTTCAGTGTCTCTAAGTGGTAGTAGTCGTAAACACATTTATCAGTGTGTGCATCCCCTGGAGATGCATTGAAACTTCTTTGTAAATATGTATGAAATTATATTTTCATTTCTATAGAATCATAAGGTCAGAAAGGGTCTTGTAAGCCATCTCATTGAGATGAAGATAGGACACTCAGATTAGAGTAACCCAACTGATCAGTGTCTATTGCAATATCCATTTGAAGCTCTCCAGGAAGAGAGAGGTTGTACTGTGTCCAAATGCAGTGCCCAGCTGCTCTTACTATCAAGAGTTTTACCACGTTGTTTAACTGCAGGTGAAACTATTAGTTATGGAAACCCCATCACTAGGAGCTGGAAATTAATTTGTGTCCAGTGTGATTCAGACAGACCTTTGTGATTGAGCAATAGTACTTGAACATAAAGTCTACACTTTGCAAGAAAATCAGATGTTGGTAGCAGTTAATTTCTTATTTTAATCATAGGCTATCTGTAGCTTATACAGTGGTGCCTCGCTTGACGAGGATAATTCATTCCATTCAAATCGCTGTTAAGTGAAATTCTCGTCCAGCGAAATTAAAAAACTCATTGAAATGCATTGAAAAACGGTTCAATGCTTTCCAGTGGGCGAAATACCCGCTCGTTTTGTGAAGATCCTCCATAGGGCGGCCATTTTCCGGTGCCTGTAAAGTGAGGAATACCTCCTAAAGCACAGCAGGGAGCCATTTTGCACAGTGGTGAGCTGTTTTAAAATCGTCTAGTGAAAAATCGGTTCCCGAAGCAGGGAACAGATCATCATTAAGCGTATTTTCCCCATAGGAACATTGTTTTGCGATTGCAATAGCGATTGGAAATACTTCATTGTAAAGCGGTTTCGTTGTTTAATGAGGTAATTGTTAAGCGAGGCACCACTGTATTTTGGACCACAGATTTACTCTCTTTTACCTTCATCTTATTAGTTCTGTTCCTGACTTCTGAAAGAATAGAGAACAAATGTGTACATTTGATGTGACAGCGCCTCAGGTACCTGAGTAACGCTGTCATATTCTCTCTCCATTTCTTCTCCAGGCTAATGCGATCCTGTTACTAGATTACGTTCATTCAACTTACTCTTGGTGTTCTTGATGTTGTTCAGGAATATGTCGAACAACTTCATAAATAGTACCGGGACGATCCTGGCCTTGTATAACATCAGAGCCAGAAACAGATCGACTTGACACCTGAAAGGAAGAAATGATCATATTTTCTGAACAAGACAAGCAACGTCAGAAATTGTGACAATACAAGGTAGAATTTTAATGTCAGATTAGGTTTAAGAAGACCAAGGTTAAAATTTGCACTTGGTCATGAAGCCCACAAGGCAAACCTGGGCTAGTCACCATTTCTCAGACATCATAAACTGTTGCAGTGATTAAGTGTGGAGCATGGTGCCTGTATTTTTGGATTCTTGTTGGATGTGTGATTGTGTTCCTGTACCGCCTGCACCGGTCCTGATGAGAATGCAACAGTCTCATCACTGCACCACACTGTTTTTATCACTGTAACTTTCTCAGTATTATCTTGATGCCCCCCAAATTCAGAAAGTGGTTATACTAAGAATGAAGAAGTTATAGTGAAAGAGACTGGGAAGCAAGAGTCAGATTTAGGGTTCATTCAGGTTAGTATTTGTCTTGCAGTTCAGTGCATTGTGAGGATGGACTGACTCACTTTTTTTCTGGAGACCTCAAATCATAATCACTAGAGTGAACCAACTTGCTCCTAGGGCTCATTCAGGTTAGTATTTGTCTTGCAGTTCAGTGCATTGTGAGGATGGACTGACTCCATCCATAATCACTAGAGTGAACCAACTTGCTCCCAGAACACCCCAACCCACACATGTTGGATCCCTTGTCAGGGGCTTCTACTTTTTTACATGGGTTAGTGCACTCTAGATTAGTCCCTTCCCAGCACATGTGACTGCTAGGAAAGAACTAAAATCAAGCCTTCCAGCTGTCAAAGCTGCCAAGGCTACTTCCATTTTCAACATCCCGTATCATGAAGTGGCTTAAGAAGTGAGCAACTTCAGGATACTGGCAAATTGAAAACTTTCTCTGCTCCTCTGTAGAGGGACAGGGTAAGTGAAATTATTATTTTTTGCCTATGCTAGACTGTTACTGATGCACTGAATCACTTAGATTAATTTTTTAAAACAAATCTTTGCCTTATGTCACATGCCAATAGAAAAAATTCTCACAGCTAGCGGAAGGAAACAGAAGGCTGCTTGAGGTCAATATGCCATTTAGATGTGAGGATCATGCCAAATAGGATATGGCTCCTTCCCCCTGACCTCAAGAAATCCTATTTAGACCTCACCAACCTACACCAAAAGGGCCAGTGTCCTTGCATTCTCAAAAGTATGATCAAAGGTATTGCCTGCCTTTAAGAATATGTAACAATCCCCTTTTTCTTTCTTTCTCTTTTCTTGTTTGCATTATTTAAACTCAAGAGCCTTTTCTGTTTTACAGCACTGTTACAAAAAGTCACTGTGAAACATGAACACAGTAATGACTTTTCAGATTTTTCGGCAGAAATGTATTTATCAATAATACAAGCACTTACTAGTGAAATTCCTGCCGGGTCTGGAAATGCAACAAATTCATATATTCCAAAATCATCTAGTGCATTTTCATGCCCTAAAATGCAGAAATTTCATGAAGAAAAGTAAATATCATCTACAGACACTTGCTCTTGTCCTCTTACCTTTAGTCCCACTCAGAGAAGTACAGATACGTATTTAAAAGATTCTTGACAGAATTTGCACTTCCCAAATTGGGAAGTGGGCTCAGGGATCAAGGGGGTGTAGTCCAAAAGTGCAACTGAGATGCAGGCTCTGATTCTCGAAAGGAAGCCATTCAAAGATATATGCAGCAGAGCCTCGAGAAGAGGAAGAAGCAGAGCAACACGGGACACAAATAGGGCTTGTTGACTCACAGGGGAGGAGGGAAATTTGGGATATCTGGGAAAAGGGTAATTCATTCACTTGGAAAGGAGGATATCCCTAGGGGAAAAAGCATCTGTTCCTACTGGAACAGCCAAATGCATGAAGTAGCACCATTGTTCTCTGTTTCCAACACAAATTCTGGGCCCAATAAAATGAAACATGAAAGATCTGTTACTACATCTCCCAACATTCTACCCCCTTCTTTTTCTTTTTCTTCTAAGCAGTTAATTATAAGGCTTTCTCATATGGTTTGGGGAGAGCGTGTCTTTTGAACAGGAAGTGAGCAGCGGTTAACTCCTCTCTCCCGAGCTCTGATCTAATTCGCATCACCCCCAAGCTGATATTAAATAAAAAGAGAAGTGACGAGAGGCATCCAATTATGAATATATAGTATAGTCTTCGGTCAACCCTCCATTTGTCCTCTCTCTCTCCCTCTTGAGGTTTGTGAGGGGATTATACCTGTGTATCACTTGATGTCACATTACCTGAAATTGTTTGTGCTTTTCTGTAATCTGCTTCAGGCCTAAAAACATTAGGAAAAATTCAAATATTTTAGAATTTTTGTCGAGCCAATAGAATAGAAGGCAGAGGGGTCTTGATGTATTTTAAAAATGGCTTATGTGATATCAGTGAGTGAAGAGGAATTTAATTTTCTACCTGATCTGCAGCTTCTGCTGTATAACTGGAGGGAAAAGAGACAAAGAAGAAAAAGAATAAATTTCCCCACAAAACATTTTATAGAAATGTTGACATTAATTATGCATTGATTTAACATACCTTTATGAGGCTGAAATCTTTTCCATAATATTAGAAGGCAGATTGATACTATCAAAAATAAGGAAATTCCAGTTATTACTGCTAAAGGTGATAAATATTTTCCTTTTTGGATGAAGTGTTCCAATCCTGTGTCGGAGAAGAACAGAAATTGGTGTCTGATATTTGTGAATTAGTTTTTGTCACACCTGTAATTCTAGTATTGCACAAGAGACTGCTTAGTAAGGAGAACACTATTGTTATCTAAATACTCTTGGATCTACAACTTTGCTTTAGTCTGTGCATTTTCTCTGAAGCATAGTTTAACTGAGCATAGCTAGGAAAAGTTACTTTTGGACCAAAATTCTCATCATGCTCCCAAAAGCAACATATCCAAGCCGTATCTAGCATTGAAATATCTACATTTGCAGTTATTACCCGTATTTTTCGCTCCATAAGACGCACAGACTTTCCACCCCCCTGTTTTGTGGAAAAAAGTGCGTCTTATAGTGTGAAAAATATGGTATTTCTTCCCGGTTATCTATTGCAGATGGGGGTTGGTATGTAATTTCTTCACTTGACCTGCACAAAAGTGGGTACCACTAGCTTTTTCCATTCTTGGGTTCTCATATGTTGGTGGACTGTCACTCACTTTGACTGGCATGGTTAATCATTGAGGTGGAGTGAAAAAGTTATTAGAAACAAGAACAGGCAACTTAAACTTGGAACAGTAGTTCAGTTTTACTAAAGGATGAACCATTTAAAATCATGCCCTTATTTCAGTCTTGAGTGGGCTGTGGGATTGCTTTTCAAAGTTTGCCATAGCAAACATTAGCATCCCGATATCTTTCCTTCTTCTCTCTTTCTCTTTCCAGTTTTTGTACAGGCACAAGATTGTGGGGTATTTATTTAATTAACCAGGTAAGGACTGCTGGAAAGGAACTTAAAATACGGATCGAAGGAAGTCGTTGCTGCTTACTGTGGTCTGATCCTCTACAGACCTGAGGGTATTCAGTGTGAAGTGCACTTTATTCTGCATAGCATCAAGCTTCATTGTTGTAGCACAGTGTCAGTCAGGAGAAATGTAGAAGGAAGAATTTGAAATAACTGCATTATTTTGGGGGGGGGGGAATATGTAATACAAATCATTAGATAATTTCCATTGTATCTGTGCTCATTATAGGACTGGTGTCTTTCTGGCTTGAATGAGGTTGCATTTTTTTGGGGGGAAATATGTAATACAAATCATAAGATAGTTTCCATTGTATCTGTGCTTATTACAGGACTGGTGTCTTTCTGGCTTGAATGAGGAAGGCCGATGTGTTCTTGTCCAGCTGTCCTTAGATCAGTTCCTTTACGCCTCTGAGAGGGAAGGATATTGTTTAGAATTTGTGCTTCCCTGATTTCATCATTAAAAAAAGGTTTTTCATTATTACAGCTAACATTGTTAAAGATGACTGTCACTTGTGTACAGTATTCTAATTTCCTGTACTTACTATGCCTGTATGCGGGCACCACTAGAGGATGCTCAAACCTTGGTTTTGTTATTGTGGGACAGCTAGGAGGACAAGATCTACTTAGCAGCTACTTGAAAACTGCAATAAGGAAGGGAAAAGGTAAATGCCCATACACTTGGAATAGTGTCACTGATTAGGAAGGGTGGGGTTAAAAAGGAAATACTATGGAAATGAGGAAATACAGGTGATCTAGATGATGTAAATTAGTAAACAACAAAACAGACTGGGCATATAATAAGAAATGCAAAGATGCTATTGTAGCGAACAGCCCTGCCCTCACCTGTCCGTCACAGCTGAGCAGGGGAGAAGGAGCCAATGAGTGGACGGAAGGCGGTGCCAAAGGGGGGGAGGGAGATGGATATAAAGGCTGGTGTATGGAGTATGGAGAGATTCTGTGAGTGAGAAACAGTGTGAAACTTAAAAGTGAACATAGAGTGAGTTAGAGTTCTGTAAGAATGCTGAATGGTACAGAGAGTTATTAGAGATTTAAAGTCAAAGTAGAACTGATGCAAATACAAGTGATTAGCAACCTGTGATTTACCAATTGAATATTAATCAGATGTTAACTTCCCTGATCAAATAAATGACTTAAGTTTTGAAAGCACACATGTCTCCTTGATTGAGTGGTATTAAAGCAGTAATACCTGGTGGCAGCGAAGAAGGAAGAAGAGTGAGAACCTTGTGAAGGCCTGGGGAATAGAGGCTTCAGAGGGGATTGCCACAGCTATAGAGACTTGGGGGTGGTATAATAACCCCAAAATGAATCCTATTCTTAGATCACTGTGCATAGGATTGCAGGCATGCCCTATAATCCTAAATTCAGTGTATAAACCAACACATTAGTGTTAAGCTATGATCTTGTTACTCAACCTAGTTGTCCCTACAGACAGTGTGCTTCCTATTTCTTGACAATAAAACCTACACCTGTTATAGAGACATAATGCGTTAATGATGCAGGGTAAGAAAATCTGTGGCCATCCAAATGTTACTGAATGAATCCACCATCACTTGGTGGGTGTTAGGATGGGAAATTATAGATAACGCACCATATACATTGAATAAGAATAAAAATAATTTGGAATCTGGAGAAAATCAGTAATGCTAGATCAAAACTATTAAGGCTAGGTAAACAGCTGACACAATGAGGTTAGTGAATTAACTTTTATGTACATCTGTGTACAACCCAGAAGTGATCTATGGTGCCTATGATGGGCATATCTTTTCTAGTACATGCATGAGTGGGTACTTTGCTTTGCACTAGTAGAAAGTATAAAATGTCTCACAGAGTGAAAGTCTTTAGTTAAGTATACGCAATCCCATATCCAGCCAAGTGCAAATATGAGATAATGTGTAGCCATGGCTTCACAACGTTGTAAATGAATTTGAATGATTGCTCTCAATAACAATAAAACCATATGCTATACAGTAGATAAAAGTCCAGTGTTTCCATAATAATACTGTACTAAGAACCTTCCCCACAGTCCTAGAACAACGTGCCCAGATGGAGGGTGTCTACGTGCTAGAGGAGGGAGAAAGAGATGAACACACTATCTACTTGCACATCTGCTTTTCCATCTTCTGGGGTAACATTAGAAGAAAGAATTTTTGCATGACCTCTTGTGGATAGGCACATGTTTTCCAGATGTGAAGACAGCTAATCTATCCCATTGCAGGAGAAACATGTCTCTGCTTTGTGTGTCATCTAAAATAAGAGCTATTTAGCTCCTATCCTATTTCACCCCCATTCTACCACTCAAAATTCCACCGCTTCATCTCTCTCATACGCATAAACACAGGGTGGAAATAGGCATATTTCATCCAGCTTCTCCATATTTTTTTCTCTCCAGAAGGATTGTAAAAAGGCAGACGTCACTTTGGAGAGTTAAAAACCTCACAGAGGGTAGAAAGTTATACAACTGTCTTTCATCACTCAATACCAGGGATGAGCAACTCTGCCCCTCTAGGTATTTGTGGTGTGGAATTCCCATAAACTATCGCCATTGGCTATCCTAAGTATCCTAACTTGAAGAGAATTGTCTGCAAAACATCTAGAAGAGTCCATTTGCTAATTTTTGCTCTGTGTACCCTTCCTTTCCTTAAACTCCCACTCTTGCTTTGCTGTTTTCAGTATAAATTTGCTGCTTTTGGATTGTAAAAAAGCTGAGGAGATGTACATCCTTGCACTGTGTCTCTAGAGTAGACTGAAGAACGGGCAGGAGTGCCACATTGCAAGGAACAACTCCCCCCCCCTTTGCACTTCAGGTGTGATGTGCAAGACAAGTGCAGCTGTCAAATAGTTCCCAGACATCCAAACCCTCTAGAGGTAAAATACAAACTGATTCCATTTGCTCTAATTTTTCAGAATGCAGATCCCACCATGATTTGCTTCCTCCCTATTTTCTAAGCAGAACTTTTAGTTGTGACAATGTTTATGGAGGATTTGCAGTTACTATGTGACATTCAAGTGGCCTTTCCTCAGCTGAAGTCCAGCATACTGGAACTGAACATGTACTTCATGTTGTTACGCTCTTACTGTACTTATGGCTGACAGTTTTTGTGGTTGTTAAAGTCTCTGCTTGGCAAGATAAGGAATTATCAACTATGCCTCCTTGTAGAAGTATGCTAATATTGACATAATAGACACCAATAACACTGTTAACCATACTTTGTCAGTATCTGAAGGTCAGGAAACTTTGAGGAACTAGTCTGTAGTAATGTCATATTTTCAGTGTGAGTTATATCTTTAAGCAAATCATGTCTCTTGCTTTCATTTAGTGATAGCAGAGACTTTTCACCTAGCACAGCCCAAATGTTAGAGAATAGTTTGCTTCAAACATACGGCCGGGATCTGATGGTTGTTGTGGGTTTTTCG